CCACATTGAAAACAGACAAATCTGTCTCTGGACAGACTGAAGCCTGTGACGCAACCCGAACGGTTTCCGCCAGATTTAAAACCAGAGTAATTATCGTCAACTTATAGTGACACTGCCGAGTGAAATGTACTGAGAATAAGGCGTCAAACAAGAAATCTTTCAGATCACAGCAATCATATACCAAAGTTACTTCTAGAATCATCAGCTCAGAAAGATGTGTGGTAAAGTAGGAGGAAAGAAGAGTGAGATGGAAGGAAAGAAGAAGAAGAAGAAGAAGAAGAAGAAGAAGAAGCATTTACGGAGAAAAGAAGGAAAAAAGAAGTTTGAGAATGAATGAATGAATGAATGAAGGAAGGAAGGAAGGAAAGTGGTAGTAATAGTAGTAGAAGAATTTACGGAGGAAAAAAAGAAGTGTGAAAAGGAAGTAAAAAGAAGGAAGGAAAGAAGTATCATTATTATTATCAGTAGTAGTAGTAGTAGTGGAAGAAGAAGAAGAAGAAGAAGAAGAAGAAGAAGAAGAAGAAGAAAAGAAACATTTCAGTAGGAAAGAAGGAAAAAAGAAGTGTGAGAAGAGTGAGATGGTAGAAAGAAGAAGAAGAAGAAGGAGAAGAAAAGAAGAAGGAGAAGAAGAAGAAGAAGTGTGAAAAGGAAGGAAAGAAAATAGTAACAGTAGTAGTAGTAGTAGTAGTAGAAGAAGAAGAAGAAGAAGAAGAAGAAGAAGAAGAAGAAGAAGAAGAAGAAGAAGAAAGGTCTTAATCAAATGGCCTCGATATCAGAATCTCAAAACAAGGGCCTCCATCTTTTCAACATTTGGTTTTGCTGGGATCGGGTGACAGCGTATTGTAATGTGAACCTGAATCCTGAAATCAAGATGGGGAAAATGACAACAGAATATTACCATACCTTCACCTAAACTAGAGCGTCCATCTCCTCTACTTGGCTATGGTTTATAGCGATCAAAACAGAAATCCTGCCTTTTATAAATTCTTGCTCTCATAAAGTAGAACCAATCATTCTGGGTGTGTGGTGTGAAATCTTGGCGCGACATAAATTGGAGAATTACTTTAAACCGTTGAGACAACAGGCACAGATTTAATTATCAAGAATTGTACCCATGGCAATAGTTCTTAAATTATTTCAAACTGTTCCGATATATATATATATATGTGTGTGTGTATATCTATCTATCTGTATATATATATATATATATATATATATATATATATATATATATATATATATATGTATTAAAAAACAAAATCCAAAATTATCTCATATGGGGATAGATATATTTCAACCAACGCGAAGTACGTCAGTCTTATTCAACCCTGGTGTATGGACTGTATTCGTGTCGGAATCAGAGATTTAAAATTTTAGTTTGACAGCAGTCAAAAAATTGATACAGAACTTACCCATTTCGACGACTCAGCCAGACAAAATGCCCGAGTTGATGATAAGGGGAGCGGGAAAGATCTTAAAGGGAAAAGGCTACACAAAATCAACCCGGATATTAACCTTAAATTTTAAAACTCCCTTTTCGGATTTTGCTTAGTTTTAAATTAATGCCTCATTCTTCAGATAACCCCGATTTAGGGTCAGAAGGTTTAAATAGCTTTTGACTTTAATGCGGACCACACATGTTTAAATTTTTGAATCGTGTGAAAACCCAAATTATGTCTACCTTTTCGACTCGTAGAAACGAAATTTATATCTCGCTTTTTAATTTTTATACAGACAAAACCCATGTCTATTTTTAACTCTCTTGGAAAGCAAGTGAATGACGATTGTGTTTTTCTTAACTCTCGTTCAAACCAGGCCTAATTCAAGTTAATTATTGTATGCTAGGATTCGGTATTAAATAATTTTGCAACGGTTTGTATGTCATAAAACAAGCCAAACCAAACCCATCATTAAGAGGAGACGTGACACAGTCTCGAAGACCGTCGTAAAAAGTTTGGAAGAATTGGAATTCCAGTAAAGAACTGAAGCTAAAGCATTATTTAAATTATTTAGTATTATGAGGAGAATGCTGAACAGGATAGGTGCATAAAGCGATTTGTTTACATTTGGTTTCCATTGAAAATAACTAGTTATTGTTGATTCAAAACCTCAAGGAATTCAAATGGGTCGTTAATAAAATCAAGAAGAATCCTGAGGAATTTTTTTACGATGATTTTCACCGTGTACAAGACTCGGGAGCCACTCGAGGTAGACGGTTAGAGAGTAAGAGGCACAGCTTATGCGGATATGTGGTGATGACAACGGTTAATCCTAGATTTGAACGGGTTAATATTGCAATGATCGGGGAAGCATCCTCTTAGGAGTCGGTTCTTGGGAAGAAGCTGCGCCAGTGGAACTTACTTCTCACCAATGGAATAAGAAGGGTGATTCGCTACAATCTGCGTACCTTGGCGGGTATTAGCCCCGAACTCTTAGAACCAAGATATGTAGTTCGTCTGAGCATTTATTTATGGACATACTGACAGAGCAGCGAGAGGTATGAGACTCTTCGTCGAATAGGAGAGTTTTGGGGGAGCTTGTTGTCACTTGATCTTCTGGTGCCGAGGAATCCGAACAGGTGCAGTAATGATTGGAATAAGACTAAATACGATGAATTCTGTCTTTTCTAATAATCGCTTCGTTTTTTTTTTTTTTTTTTTTTTTTTTTTTTCAGATTTCCGAATCAAGAATTGAGAGATTTGATGACTGGCAACGCCATTTGCAAACACATTTTGTTTTTATTTTTTTTTATTTCTACGTTTTCTCTTTTTCATACACTTGTTCGCTCGTTTAGTTGCAAAAAAATTGCACTCTCCACTATTTCCGCTTCTTTTCTTCCGTTTCCGGTATACCCCTTTCCTTATACAATCGCGTCTCTCAAATAAGCCAGCGAAACGGTTTAGAACAAAGCCTCCCCGACGATGTTTGCTTTCCATTTTTTTTTTTTCTATTTATAGAAAAAAAAATCATTAATATTTTTTTGCATTATTTTTATATTAATATTTTTATTTCGTTTATTTTTGTAAGAAAAGATACAGAAAGAAGCGAAGATATTGCGAATCAAGAAAATTTAACAACATTCATTTTGAAAACTAACGACGAAGTCTTCTTCTTCTATGTGTCGTGTTTCTTCAGGACGTTCGCGTTCATGGCTCTCATCAATTTCCATTTATAGAAAAAATCATGGCTCTCCACAAATTCTATTTATAGAAAAAAATCATTAATGTGTTTTTGCATTATTTTTATATTAATATTTTTATTCCGTTTATTCTATATTGCGAATCAAAAAAAGTTAACAGCATTCATTTTGAAAACTAAGGAGGGAGTCGTCTTCTTTTATGTACCGTGTTTCTCCACAATTACATGTAATCTGTAGTTCTTAATAAATTTTGTCTTTTTGTTATCTCTCTTCAACCTTTTTCCGCCATCCACTTAATCAAGTTCCCTAGGTAGTCATGCCCTGTTTTTCTTTGTCCCTTTTGCATTCAATCTGTCTTGTGAGTATCAATTTTTCCAAGCCTTCTTTCCTCATTATTCCATGTAGAAAATTTAACCGTTTCTTTGGTGTTAAATATAGTGTCCTTTTTGCTTCCATTTTCTCAAAGATGTCCTCAATGTTCAGTCCATGGTATTCTCAGTATCCTTCTGTAGAACAACATTTTTGTTATTTTAAGTCTCTTCTTTATCTTTGAGGAGATGGTCCAGCATTCACTGCCGTATAGGAGGACAGATATTATGTAACATTTCAGTACTCTTTTCTTTGTACACTATTTATATTGTTGGGGGCTATTGTCCTCATCTTTGTTGCCATGTTTATCACAACGTTTCGGCCGTTGTACGCTCCGGCCTTCTTTAGGTTGTTGGAATGTCGAACTGAACCCTTTATTTCGCTCACTGGGGTAGACTGTTCTAGTTCCACGTGCCATGTCTAATGGATGTCAGTTATCTCCTGTTAGTTCCACTCTCCAAGTTCTGCACCGCCTTAACCAGGTACTGAACTCACACTCTTTGGGTCCTGTCACTGGATCTAACTAACGTCTTTATCCACTGTGCCATGTGTCCTTTCTTTTCTTTGTTTTTAACAGAATTTTCCTGTTTCTTAATACTTTGCTTAGCTTTTGGAAAGAGTCTTTTTTATAAAAGTTCAACTGGCTAGCCCTGATGCTATGTAAAAGTGGCTTTTTTGTTTTCATTTTATCTAAAATTTCGGCGTTGCTCACATATTCAATCCATAGTATACTCAGCATCCTTCTGTAGAAGCATATTTCTGTTACTACATTTCTCTTTTGTCTGTGTGAGAATAGTGTCCAGAATTTACTGCCATATAGGAGGACTGAAAGTATAAAACCGATTTCTTTTTCGATTGCACAAGCCTCCAGTCAAAATTATTAATATTTCCCGAAATTAAGTCAGTTTTACTTGTAAGCCACTCAAAATAAATGAGAACAATTCAATTGTCCGTTATGCAGAGCATACTATTCCGCAAGTGATCACGCAGATTATAAATAACTTTGTTTAAAATCGTTGAATACCGTTCGTTAACCAGTGTCCGAATCGTCCTGTGTATGACGATAAACTACATCCGGCAGCAAGTCCTCTTATTGGGAGATTGAAACTTTAAAGAGCGTGGAATCACCTCTTAACTGCTGTTGTTTCCAGGTTCACCCTGATCCGGGGTGGTAGCACCTGTTAGGATCCTAGCTATGGGCAAATAGTAAACCCCCAAACAAAAATCAACAGTACATTTTTTTATAATGACAATGAATGTAATACTAAAAAAATTAAAAAATACATTTCTATAGTAAAATTACCATCAATACATATTATGTTCTATAAACTACATACCTGAAAAAAAACCCCAAAAAACATACCTTTACCCCGAAATCTGAAAGCATAAAATCATGTACAATTTTTTTTGATTTCGGTATTAAATAACCCATAGAGGTGTTGATGTGGCGCTAAACAAAATCAACAACAACCAATATCCTATGAGCCTCTGCTTGTGGCTATCATCACGTTGAAACACAGGTACCCGTACGATCACCGAAATTAAGCAACATTGAAGCTGGCCAGTAATTAGAGGGGTAACCGCTTGGGAATATCACGTGTTGTAAGCTTGGATGCGCGGGTGGTGTAATGGATAATGGCTCAGAATTTTTAACCGGAAACTGAATTCCAGTCCCAGTTCAAGTTGGGTTCGTTATATTCACTTACGAACAACTAAACTTCGGAAATATATGAATCCACCTCTTGTCCCATAGCTACGGGTTAATTAGTATGACTTTCATTATTATTAAAAAAATCCTAGAATCTAAGATATTTTCTTACTTTAAATAATTTGCAAGGTGTTGATAAACCGTAAAAACGAATCAATCAACCCGAGTCTCTCGGCCAAAAGGGGCCATATTTTAATTCTTTAGATTCACCCATTAATGTCCACCTTAAAATTTGATAATCATTGTAAAAGTAAAAATAAAAATTCGCTATTAATTATCAGTTTGTGAGTTGATACAGTGTCATATTGGTAACATGTGGCCGAGCGTTTAAAAACAAAAAGTGTCTAATTCGTTTATATGATGGATCTTATATATCGATGTAACTTGATTTTTTTGTTTTTGCCATCCAACAATTAGGTTGTATGGGAAATAATGTCCGATCTTAGAATCAACTTTTATTCTCGAATTAATATATTTAAACAACCAAAATAGAAAAATGTTCCTTATCGAGTCATAACTTTATTGTTGTGGCCTGTTAAGGGCCAGAAAGAAAAACACGCAAAGAAGAAGGTAGGTCGAACAAGTGAATTGAAATAACAGAATATATATACAAAATAAGAGTGTTATTAGTCAGCTGATAGAAGTGTCCATCCGAACTATCAGGTTACACTGAGTCCCGACTGCCCAATTTAACAGTCCCCCCACAAGGAATGTATGTGGCACAAGGCCGAGTTTAACGTGGGTTTCTCCGAGCCCGTAAGCTCGGCTAAAAATTATTCCCTTAGAACCCGCATATGCGGGTTTGGGATCTGTCTACCTCCCCGGGCGAAACTTTGCCTTTCGGCAAGCCTCGTCCGGGTTCCTCTCTGTCAAAGCAGCGAGTTCGACAGAAGTCACACACAGTCAGAGACTGCATGTCGACTGCTTGCTTAGAAAGTCTCGCAGGTTAGTATTTATGAAGGAGGAAGAGTTCATTCTAATGTAGATATGTCACCATAACAATAATGTAAATAGTTACGATATCTCAGAAATATAGACCGATCCTGAAGGAGGCCTAAGCGTACAACGGCTGAAACATCATGAATATGTCAACAACGTTGACGACAACAGCTCGACCAATGTAAATAATTTAAATAGTTACAATACCTCATCTCAGAAATATAAACAGATCCTGAAGAATGCCGAAGCGTACAACGGCCGAAATGCTGTGAATATGACAACAAAGATTAAGACAACAGTCCAATCAATGTAAATAGTTGTTGTGGCCTGTTAGGGGCCAGAAAAGAGACGGAAAAAAGAACGTAGCATATTGAAATATCAGAACATATATACGAAATAAGAGTGCTATTAGTCAGCAGATAGAAGTGTCCGTCCGAACTGTCAGGTTACACTCCGTCCCGACTGCCTCCTAGGAAGTCTCGCAGGTTAGTATTTATGAAGGAGGAAGAGTTCATTCTAATCTAGATAGATCGCCATAACATTTATTTATCCATTTACGATAAAAATTTAAATGTTTGGACACCAATAAATCTTTGAATGCAGTTTCTGCATCTTCTTTACCAGAGAATGCTTCAATTGAATAAATACAGACTACATCTGTTATACCTGTAACTGCATTAATTCAAAATGTTTTCTTTAATGAAAGTACTTTAAAGTAATTGAAGAAGATAGACTCTGTTACGTATAAACATGATGCTGTTTTTGCTCCATTCTAATTGAACGCTTTTTCTTATCGACCAACTGGGTATGGCTGCTAGGCTGAAATATTTCTCTGATACTTTGACATGGGTTTTGTTCAACTAGTGATTTCAACTATTGATTGTCAATTACATGTGGACGTCCACTAACACTTTCATCATCAAGACTCGTATCCACACTGCGGAACTTCACATATCATCACCATACTGTCCGATTACAAGTGGATCCTTCACCCAATTCTGTTAAAATTGACAATAGTTTACCAAGCTTTACGACCAATAAAGAGCTCATGCAAAAAAGTGAACACATTTTTTTTCATGTTTAAGATGATGCTTTTTATTGATTTGTTTTTTACGGTTTATCAACCTTTTTCAGATTATTTAAAGCCAAAAATATTTTAAGATTCTAAGAATTTTTGTGGGGATAATAGTGATTTAGTGATACACGTCTTACTAATTAACCCATAGATGTGGGGAGAAGAGGATGTTTCATAGCTTTTTGAAGGGCACGTAGGTGGATTTAGCGAACCTAGCTGGAATTGGAACTCAGCTCTCTGATAAACAATTCGGAGCCATTATCCATTACTCCATCCGCTCATCCAAGCTTACTTCACTGGGTATTCTCAAGTGCGCATCCATCTAAATACTGACCTGGCTCGTCGTTGCTTAACTTCGTTGATCCTACGGGAACCGGTTTTTTGAACGTGATATAGTCGTAATCTGAGGATTTTATAAAGTTTTAATTTAAATTTTGAAAGAGTTTCATAAAATAAAATTAACAAAGAGGGCATTTTAATCATTCAGAATGAGTAATATATTTTTGTCCGATTATTATAATAATATATTAGAAGACAAGCGGCTTATTCTAGAATAGGAAATTATTTTTCGAACAATCTGACACAAATATCCGAAATACTTGACTCAACAAGCTTTCTTTCTCAATCTTAGCTCAACGGCTAGTGATCTCTGTTGACTTAAAACTTTCGGCTCAGTAAAAAAAAACTTGGTAATTATCCCACTAAAACAGCGATTTATTAATATCAGTTGAAAAGTAATGTTGAACAGAAATAAAAACTAATATTATCGCCATTACGGAAGAAAAAAAAAAGTCACTCAAATAATTAGTGTCTAGCAAATCTGAAATAACATGGCGCGGAAATTAAAAAAAAAAAAAAAAAGAAGTTGGTAGGAGTAAAACATGAATGTAAAAAGAACCAATAATAGTTACGGGCAATTTTCGGGAATTCATATCTAATTGCAAGAACTAATCACAGATTTTACAAATCAGCAAAAAGAAATAAAAAGAAATGGCGTACTTCTGGAATCTTCAGAAAATCCAATCACAGTCAACTGGAGAGTTTCGATGAGAAGTAATGTTTACCCTGCTTGGCTCACAGATCATCGCTAATGTAGTGAGATCGACCATAACTCGGGATTTCAAACTTGTCAAGTTAAATCTTGCTTATTATAAAACGCAGATTGTGTGTGTGTGTGTGTGTGTGTGTGTGTGTGTGTACGTTTATATATTGGATCGGATTTCCTACATTTTCAACTGATTTCAACAAAACTTCACAGGACTATGCAAAATTACCTTGCGGTTGTTCTGACAGCGCCCAAAATTGGAAAAACACAATTGTTTTTGCATAAAATCAATTTGAAAACACGATTAAGAGGCATCACTGTCGCCAGAATGAAAGGGGAACAACTCATATAGATTTATACTTATTATAAAACCCAGGTTGTTTGTTTGTTTGTGTGTGTGTGTGTGTGTGTGTGTGTGTGTGTGTGTGTGTGTTCGTTTATATATGGGATCGGATTTCCTACATTTTTCAACCGATTTCAACAAAACTTCACCATTTTTGGCAGGTAGTGTTTCTTATTGTCTTGCACACTTTTTTTCTTTATTTTTACATTCAGAATGCTTTAAAAATTCCATTTACAAGACAATTGTTTATAATAAAATTCTATTCAATCGGTAGACTCATAACGATTGAAAACAATGTTTTTGTTTGAGTTTCGGTTTGACCAATTCGTAAAAAAAAAAAAAAAAGCTAATTAAGACATGCGTGTCCGTCAACCTTAAACAATAATCTTTGTGAATTTTATTTTTCAGTCTTTATGATGGTCGATACTTGATCTATCGCTTACTGTTACATCCCCGGGCAACGCCGGGCTCTACTGCTAGTATTGTATATAGCGGTTTTAGAGTTGCCTTGTTCAGCAATGTTTCAGTCTATTGCCAATAGGATGAATTTGAGTCTTTCTGACTTAAAACCTTTTCTTTTACTAAGCTAGACTTGGGAAGCTTTTCCATTGTCTATAATGTTCTCTAACCCTGTAAAATAAATATAAGAGAGCCGTTTACGTACATGTTTGTGTCATGCAATGGACGTGCTATTTGTTCAGTGACCTAGCAGTATGACAAAGCGTACAAAGTATTGGATCCTTGCTTTTCCTAAAAGCCTTAGTGCGAAGCGTTATCCATTTTTGTCTGTGGATATCGAGGTACTTTGGAACGCAGACAGCAGGTCCGTCCCACATCGACGCAACATGTAAAATTAGAAGATTTCCAAATTGTCATCTATTTAACATTTGGAATAATAAATATCTATTCCAAGGCCTAATTTTTTTCGAAGCCTCTAGTAACCAATATAAAGATATCTTTACAACAATGATAATTTCTACGTTAAAGCAACAGTAAAATATAAAACATGTCAAGTGAGACAGGAAAAAATAAAACGAGTAAATATGAACTATAATAAGAAAAGTGAAAGTGAAAGTAGAAATAAAGACGAAATCGATTTCATTTACACTTGGTCTGTGTTTGGTAATTAATATCAGTGACCCGGTTTTTTGTCTGAACACCTGCGTCACTTTTGCTCGTGACGGACGAGGTTAACATACAGGTCAGCCATATTTCTCAATTAAATAGTCAAGACATGGCTGGCATTCTGCGCACCCCTCCGTCCCAACGTTGATGAAAATATGCACAAAGGTTGGAGAAAAAATTAGAGACAGTTAAATGTCGCAGAAGTACACCTTTGCACACATTTTATTTAGAACACCGTCACATAGACTCAGATATCCTTCAGTGTATATTCGTATGCATACATTCCTTAAAGTATAGAACACTGACGTGCCAAAAGTATAGAACACTGACGTGCCAAAAGTAGTCGGACAGAAGTAATTAAAAGAAATGTTAGGTGAAAATATCGCTACTTGAGGGAAAGATGAACAAGAAATGCCTGATGAACAAGAAATGTGGAAAATGCAGCCGAGAGAATTATCTGTAACCGTTTTTTCCGATCTAAAATGGAATACGGAATCTAACACTATCTGTCTGTATCTCTGAGATTAGGTATTATGATTACTTGCATTATTTACATTATTCGGACTGTCATCCTCATCTTCATTGCATATTCATAGCGTTTCGAGCGTTGGAGGCTCAGGCCTTCTTCATGTGATTGGAGAGTTAAGTTAAAGGGAAATAACTAAGATATCCGGAAGAGGCATGGCACGTGGAACTAGGACGATCTACCCCGGTGGACGAAATAAAGGGTTCGGTTCAAAGTTCCAATCACCTGAAGAAAGCCGGAGCGTACAACGGCCGAAACGTTGAGATTAAGGCAATGAAGATGCGGATAAAAGTCATATAATGTAAATAATGCAAAAATCTAACACTGTCCTGATTTAAAAAATCATACACAAAATTAATTATTGCATGTGCAATCTCTTGTGTTGACTTCAACTTCACTTGTTCGAAGTTAAGTTCCCCATTTGAAGGAGAAATGTTAAATTTGTAATGTCAAGTAGAATATTTTATATTTTCTTTTGTCGGTTTGAGCCATGACGTTTCTGGACATTGCCTCATTTCCTGGCTTGAAGCATAGTTCCAATTTTTTTTTCTGATTGATGTTTCTTTGGGTAGTCTTATTACATGTCTATGGAAAGTGAATGTTCCTTTGATGGTTTTGTTTCACGATTCCCTATACGCAAACCACCAACCTGCCACTGTGTAGCATGCCACTATCGTTTACCGCTGGTAGCCCGCTGTTGGACTGCCGGCGTGTTCATCTCGGCAATGTTACCACTGGCTATGGATAGTGAATGTTACGTTGATGGTTTTGCTCTACGGTTCTCTATAGGCAAGCCACCAATCTGCCATTGGATAGCGTGCGACTAGCGTTTACCGCTGGTAGACCGCTGTCGGAACGCCGGCGTGTTCAACTCGGCAATGCTACCACTGTCTATGAAAAGTGAATTTTCCTTTGATGATTTTGCTCCACGTTTCCCTACATCTAAGCCACCAATCTGCCACTGGATGGCATGCCACCAGCGTTTACCGCTGTCGAACCACGAACATGTTCATCTCGGCAATATTACCACTGGCGGACGGCTAGATGCCGGCTGGTGACAACCACCAGAGGTCCGCTGGCGGTGCTATCGTCGGCCCGCCAACGGCACACTAGCGGTTTTCGTGTTGGGTTCGCATTTAGTCTTATTTCTCTTGGTTCAAGATCTTGCCAGGCTAGCAATTCTAAGTAAATTTCCCTGGAAAGAATTAGTATTTTTCTCACCTGTACAGGTAAGTTGTACAGAAACACACTCGATGTGTAATTCCCCGATTTTGAGTTAATGACAGACAGATGCTGGATTTGAAAATGTTCATCCGTATTATAAAAATAAATAAATAAATAAATAAAACCAATAAAAAGCAAACGTTTCTCAATTTTAACCCATCCTATAAATTACGAGTGGGTGCTGAAAAATGTTCAACCACTTCACAGAATTTCATTTCTGAACTTTAGTGATTTAAACATTGATTTTGGAAACTTCTCAAGATTTCCTTGTTCAATCAATAATAAAAATTCCGCCAATTTTGGTAAAAAAAAAATTGCCCGCTGATATGAGAGCTGTCATAATAAAATCAAGTGTTCTTTCGGAATTAAATTAGTTAAAACTAAATTGTCCCCAGTCTAACACACAAAAAAAACCTGGACGAGAATTTTTTCTGTCGATATTACATATAACATCTGTATTCACTCAGTCACGCCTATCTTAATTTCTGCGAATCGATTTCCCCCTCGTTTTCATCAGCAAAATCAATGGCATCGCGTCTCTATGCTAAAATGATTTACATTATATTTCTATCATAAAATCATGAATAGTCTATTCTTCTTGTGTCTATAATCGCCACATTCTTCCGATAATGCTTGTCAAAATTCTTGACTAGACCGTCACTTTTTCATGATGTTCACTGCATTTCTATAGTAAAATGATAAGCAACACATTTATATTCTCACACTTTATATCAGTAATGCTTCCATTAATCCTTATTCTATCAGTAAAACTTAATTTCTGACCACTAATAATCACTTTCTTTTTGATTTTCAAGGCAATCTTATTAGCATTACATTTTCATTAGGCATATAAATCACCCCTTTCTACCAGTAACGATTGCCTTAATTTCTGACCAGTGGCAATTCTTTTCTTTCTGACTCTCAATACATATTAATGCCTAAATTTGATCAATCGAGTTTTACGTAAAATAATTTTTAAGTCTTAATGTTACTGTGAAGTAATCCATTCTTGTATATCGATGCGAAGGATCTTGCATGAACATAAATTCGACAATAACTGTAGACTATTATAAATTACAGGTAAATTAGAACGATGTTTAAAACATTCTCATAAAATCATAGGTAAGATAAACACTTC